ATTCGTAATCTGGGGACTGCCTGTACTATTGCTGCATTAGGTGGGTTCACAGGTATTCAACTTATCATTATGCTTCATTAACCCATTTATGCTACATGTGTATGTAGTATTTGTGTGCATCAGATATTCATGGTTGAACAACATAATGAACATAATTAATGTCACTGAGCCGTACATGTGAAGATTGTTGAAATGGCAAATGTTTTGTTACCTATACATCTACCACAATAAAAAAAAGATATAAAATAATTCTTTCACGTGCAAATATATAAATATATTTGTATTTAGGTTATGATAATGAATAAATTTAACTAAAAGCTGAAATTAGCTAAATCATTTTAAAAGGCCTTGTGTAAACCTATGCTGTCTATACCACTATCCACAGCACAAGCCTGATGGCACCAAGCCAACCAAACCCGCTAGGTTATTTTGGTCACAGGCAGCCTCAACAGCCTTTGGTGGCTGAGTCAGATGACCTTTGCTGACAGCGCACCCATGCATCAACAGTCTCCTGAGCGAAGCACTCCTGTCCCTTCCCCTGAGTTTTCTATTAAAAGCGCCTTTAAAAAAAAAAAGCAGAAACAGGCCACTTCCCAGAGAAACTCAAACTGATAGGATAGGCACACAGGAGACTGGCAGAAGGGCTTATGCGGAGTTTAGGGCTAATAAGACCCCCTGAGAAGAGCCAAATAAGTTCCCTTTTGAAGACTCAATAGTCCATGCTGTTCCTTTTTATATACATGTAATGCAATGCCCAAGAGTCATTCCCTGGCTGGTTTTGCACTTTAACTTGTGAAGTTTATCAGGGAAGACTTCACCCACTCAAAGGGAGAGAGGTCCAGAAATAACAGTGTCTGGGCTAAAGAGAGAAATATCTTTCTGACATGTGTGCCAATATGTACACCCACTTGTACTATTTTCCCAAGTAACTATTCAGGTCCTGAAGAGGGGGGAGAAAGACAACAGCCAGCATCACTATGTCACAACTTTGTGGTGATGCACACAAAAGGATGCAGTTTTAAGAAATACAGATATTCATACTGATTTTGTTAAAGGGGAAAGCAGACATAATTTATTGCCTCTTTAGTTTTACACAACTCATAACGTTTCTTCAGAACACAATCAAAAAGGAAAACTTTCACAAAGGAATGACTCATGACAAGGGCAAATTTGATGTTTGTCTTTTTAATTCAAGATAAACATGCTGGTTTACTCCTTGACAAAAAACATTTACTGCAAATTAATTACCATATAATTAAGGAAGAAATTATGAGCACAATAAGCAAGGGGTGGCTTCGGTGTTCCTTTGTCATCCGCTTCTAAGTGCAAACATTTTTAAGAAGGCTAAGGCAATTGTCATTAATATTTTAGACATTTATAGTTCTACCCTCCTTAAAACTCAAGTTACAGGATGTAAAGGGGAGAACAGATGAAAAGATGTGGCAGTGAGAAGTGGGAAGATACTGGCACAGAGTCTTGGAGACAGGCTCTAACCTAGATTCTGCTACTGAAAATCCTCCATTCCTCATCTATAAGAGAAAGGAGATGGACTGAAAGTCTAAAAAGGCCTTTGATTGTCTGAAATGTAGGGGGTAGTCACTGTTATAGTTCCTAGTGCTTAAGATACTGCAGTACTAGAACAGACATTCAATCGCCATGTTTAGGGACATTTGTGAAAAGTTGTACGGTTCAAAGAGGCTACACAACAGAAAGAACAACAGAGTTTCAGAGAAATACTGAATGAATTCACAGGGCTATCGATCACAGGATGATACTTTTCTCAAAGCCATCTCCAAGGCAGTTGATACAGGAAGAAAAAGACCAGAACTGGAATAAGTGGCAAAGAAGACCAAGAATAGAGGAATATGTTGGGTAAAAAAAGACCTTATCTGCTTGATTCTAATAGTTAGCAATGAAACGGGCTACCTGAAGAAGTTCAATTTCTTTCAAGAGTTTGAAATATCATCCATTTATGATGATTTGGGAGTATTTCATGACATAATGAAAAAGAGGAGACACCCTGGAATCAGTCTTTTTGTGGTTCCATCCTGGCTCCATCGAGCTATGTGACATTAGATATGTAACCTAACTACTCTGTGCCTTGAAGTCCTCATGTGTGAAATAGGATAATTATGGATCCTACCACATAGGGTTATTGTGAAGATTAAAGGAAACAATATATAAAGTATACAGCAGCAACTAATACATAATAAGTACTTAATTAATGGTTGTTGTTGTGTGCCATTGAGTCAATTCTTATTGAGTCATAGCAACCCTACAGGACAGAGAAGAATTGCCCCAGAGGGCTTTCTAAGCTATAATCTTTACAGAAGCAGATTACCAGGTCTTTTCTCCCATGGAATAGCCGGTGGGTTTGAACCGCCAACCTTTCTGTTAGCAGCCATTGTGCCACCAGGGCTCCTTAATTAATAGTAGCTATTTTTATTGATGGAAACCCTGGTGGCATAGTGGTTAAGAGCTACGGCTGCTAACCAAAAGGTCAGCAGTTCAAATCCACCAGACACTCCTTGGAAATCCTATAGGGCAGTTCTACTCTGTCCTATAGGGTCGCTATGAGTCGGAATCAACTCAATGGCAATGGGTTTGGATTTTTTTATTATTATTATTGTTACAGGAGCCCTGGTGGCACAGTGGTTAAGGCACTCGACAGCCAACCAAAAGGTCGGCAGTTGGAAACCACCAGTGGCTCCACAAGAGAAAGATGTGGCAGTCAGCTTCCGTAGAGATTTACAGCCTTGGAAATCCTATGGGGCCACTATGGGTCAGAATCAACTCAAATGCAGTGGGTTTGGTTTTTGGAGTTATTATTACTGTTAATATTTAGCAGGCAGGAGAATATGCAGGTAATTTAATGGTTTCTGTTAAATACTAGACTTCAGAGCCCAGCTCATAACCACCCATACACTAGGACCACCGTAAAACATGGTCAAGGCAGGGCTGGAGGAGAAGGATCACAGTGTCACGGAGGGCAGTGCAGGTAGTGCAGTGCAGAGCACTGCACAAAACCATGGGGCTGCCCAGGATATGCAGCAGTCTCAGAATAATACAGAAATTACTGAGTCAAAATAGAATTTCCACAAAAGAAAACACCCAACCTAGGCACCACCCCCAATTTCAAATTATTTTCTATTTTAGAGAACACAGTCCTTATAATTCAACCTATGAGCATGCAGTCCCCCTTCTACTATGAGCAGATCACTCTGCAGAGGCACAGCGAAAAGAGGAGCTAAGAGGGTAGGCTGACAATAATCCTATTATGGAAGTCGCTGGCTTGCTTATGTTCCTAAACTGGAATGAAGAAATAGATTTCATCTTGATTCTTCTAATCCAGCTCTGTCCAATAAAATGTTCTACGATGATAAAAAGGTTCTATATACGTTAACCCAGGTGGCTGGTGAGAACTTGAAATGTGACTAGTATGACTGAGGAACTGAATTTTTAATTTATTTAACTGTAATTAATTTAAATAACCACATGTGGCCAGTGGCCACCTTGGACATTGTAGGTATAACCAATTGGGAGTGGCAGTCTGTAGCACTGTCTTGAAAGGGATCCTAATGTGAGTCTGGACACAAAAGTACAGAACGCTGGGATAGATTAGATATGTCTGTTCCAGGACAGGGGAGGACAGCCCTCACATATCAGCAGATTCTGTTAGAGGATTTTTATCTCCCCCTACACCAAAAGAGAACTTCTCTTTTGTAATATCTATACTGATTCTCAGACACTAGAGGGTCATTTTCTACTCCTATAAGAAATGAAATTGGCTGAAAGAACCAGATGATAATAGGGATAAAAGAAGAAGAAAAAAAGAACCTCACCCTGGATAGTATCAGTTTCTTACAGTTTTACAAAATTACATGAAATCAATTGAGTGTTAAACTATGAATTATTTTGAGCTATAAGCCTTTCTTCAGTAATGTTAGATATATGATAAGGACAAATCATTAAGGTGATTCAATAAATTTAAAAAAAAAAAAACCAGATTACAGCCAGAGTAAATCACATTACCTATTTTAAATACAGAAAAGTATGCTAATGCCATTGCAAAAGAAACCACCGTGCTTGGATGGAAAGTAGCACATCCCCCAGTATTTTAAAAAAAATACACTTTACTTTCTGATAAAAGAACAGAACTCTAACTTTTGATTGTTGCAAAAATACCAAAGTACTGCCTCCATGAAACACCATCTTTGAATCAAAAGATGACACATACACCACCACCATCATGCTAAAAATTGGGAATATACGTTCTCATTTCCAAACCTCAAGGTGATTCCTATAAAGCCCTCGCAAGGGAAAGCGATTTCAAACTCTCACGAAAATTTGGTTCCAATATGATTCTCAAAGCCTCAAGTTGAGAACTATTGTGATGTTGCCCTTGGGGTTCAAATATGTGTAGACAAAATGGGAGGTTTTTGGTATAAGCACCTATTTGTATCCCAAAGCCTTAACCCTGGGAAGGCTCTAGAACCATTCAAGCCTCCTCCAAGCCCTAAGATGCCCAAAGGAAGATTCAGTTGGTGTCTTTATGCAACTGTTTCAAACAGAGCCACATCAAAGCAATTATTTGTACTACCCTCCTTCTTCCTTAAAGTATTCACAATAGCTACTACAGTAAGATAATAAACTTCTGATACAATTTACTGTTTTCCTGGGATTCTGTATATGAAAATTCATCTTATCCAGTAAGGTTTATTTTGCTTAAGCACTGAAAGCTAGTCCCATGGCCTGATTCTCAAAGAGAACATTCTATTGAGGCCCTAGGTAACCAGAAAACTGATGTTCCAGAAAAATTTCAACTATTATATGTTTAATAGGATCCTATACCCAAAATGAAAAGTGCACTGAACAGAAAATGCTGTCATTGCTTGCCCTACAAAACAAATGGGCTGTTGTACTTTTTCTTTAACTAACACACGATATCAGGTTAAAAAATGAATTACAAGGAAATAAAAAATAACTTCTTGTTCTCTTACCTCTACCACTGTGGTTTCTGCAGCTTTGCACATGGGCAAGTTGAAATTTCTTGCACTTTTCCTGTATTAGGGGTGGGAGAAATAAGTAGGTGAAGAAGAAAGACCAAAAATAGGAAGCATTTCTTTCAGCTTTAAAATTTTATAGATTAAAAGAATTTCTATGAACTAAGAATCTGTGAATCTTTTTAAGACTGTATCATAAGATGTATATTTTCTATTAATGAAGTTTTATAGCTATTTTATAACTAAAAAAACACATTGGCCACTTCATTCAATTTATATAGTTTTTTTAAGGGATGGGAGGAAAGAGGGACTATTTTACAGGTATAATACATAACTCATACACCAAAAAAATTAATACTAATAAATCTACTCTATTTAAAGCTAAATTCCCTAATCATTTAACTGGGATTCTTTGTTTCTACAGTTAAATATTTCACAAAAGAACTTGCTCTCATTAAAATATTAATAAAAGAAAAAAAGCAAATTCTTCATATGAAAAGGTATAGTAATTATATTCTGTTAAAGAGAAGCATATTGCTGAAATTAAATGCAACAGTCATTGGTAATTTGTGAGTCACCTATAAAGATCATTCTAGAGAACTATTTTCAAGTGAAATTTTTGAAAGTACAACACCCACAACAGGCCCTGAGGTGTAAAAATTTCAAAAAGGTGCCACATTTGCTAGGAGCCCTGGTGGTGCAATGATTAAAGCAACTGACTGCTAACTGAAAGGTCAGCGGTTCGAAACCACCAGCAGCTCTGCAGGAGAAAGATGTGGCAATTTACTTCCCTAGAGATTTACAGCCTTGGAAACCTTACAGGGTCACTATGAGTTGGAATCCACTCAATGGCAGTGGGCAGTGGGTTTTGGCCACATATGCTAATAGTTTTGTATTCCTCATTTCTTAAATTAATGCATGTCCCCTAACCATAAAAATTAAGATATAATTTTGTTTCTTAAGTATAAGTTGGTAAGAAAATTTCTTTGGTAGAAGGATAAGTCACAGCTGTGTTTTAGTTTCTCTTTTACCCCACCAATGTTGCCTTCACTCAGATTCAAGGATAAATATCAGTACAGGTGTGTCCTTGAGGAAAGGGTCCTTGCGTACTTTCACAGATTGCCGTGCTGGATTCCACCAGAGGTCCAGGCATCAAAAACTCCAAGGACAGAGTGGTCAGAGAGGAAGGAGTCCTTGTCCAGGCTTCTCCAAACTTAACAATGGCCTAAATAGATCTCTATGCCAGTGATCCCGATAAATGTGAAAGTAGTCCTAAAGTTGCTTTCTTAAGAATCTAGGTCACTTAACCATTGGTGATGAAAGCACCCACTGCACATCAAAGAATTCTAAATTGTCACACTTTGGGAGAAACAGTCTCCATGGCTAGTGCTCACTGTGCCATACTGAGCCCTTATGCAGTCTTTAGGAACAAGAGCCAGGTCATGGAGTATGGGGCACATCAAGGAAATACTTCAAATAATTCATTTCCATTTACTACTATACAGATTCCATTAAAAAGCAATTACACTTTACCAACATTACACCAAAGTGTTAAATAAGGTAGACATGATATAAAATTTCTTCTTAATTGCTGAAATTGGTTGTGCTTTAAAAAAAATTAGCTTAATTCAAGAAATCAAATATTGCATAATATCACGTAAGATCTCAGAAATGAACAAAAACTACATGTGAGTGGTCACTGAAAATTTAGTTGTGACCACATCAGAGCTGCATTTGGTAAAGATAAAATAGTTGCTAATTAAAAGCAGCAAATGAAAATATTATAAGAAAAATGATTTCTACAGCCTACAGTTGCTAATTAAAAGCAGCAAATAAAAATATTATAAGAAAAATGATTTCTACAGCCTAATAAATGAAGTCTTTAAGACTAAACATTTTTGGAAAACTCAAAGGTGCATAATTGAAAAAAAAAAAAAAACTATATAATGTATAAAACCAAAATACTAAATACTTGGTATTTAGTACACTTTAGAGTAATCAAAATATTTTAAAATCTATTAAGCCTAGGATTATCAAGATAATCAGAATGAAAGCCATACATTATTAAGGTTAAGCAACTTTTCAACCTTTATAAGCATTTCCAAGAAAATGCCAGTAAGACTGGAAAAAAAACTGACCTAAATGATTATTAGCAATGTCTTTCCAGACTATCACAGTAAATTTGACATTTTAAGATGATGTATATAAATAACGGTATCAAAATTAAATAAAACTGTGTGTTTTGGTCATGTTTTCTAAGCATGTCTCAACCCTGTAACTGGCCTTAGCAGTTAAAATACACAGTGGCAAAAATAATTTGTGTATGGCCACATACAGGGGGGAGATTCAAATATTTAATTAAGCAGTACAACACAGATGCCAGCCAGTCAGAACCAGGGAGACCACAGAGCAGCAGCCCTGTACATAAATGCGTGTTTATAATTTTAAGCCATTTTAAAAAAGACTACTTACCAGGCAAATTCACCAAGATAATCAAAACTGAGGAAATATAAAGTTGCTGAAATGCATCCCATTAATGTTTTTCACAACCATCACATTACCTGAAGATCACGTTTCCTGCTCGGTCTGCCTTCCAGGCTTTTATCAAAGCAAAATCCCCTGTAATTGCTTCCTCCAAAATAAAATGCTGACCATTAAACTCCCTCACCTGCAGGAGACAAAAAGAGTACCGTCAGGTATTTGCGAAGCTCCTGTTTGATTGTGACATTGCTCCAGCAGCAGGTAACAGGGGCAGAAGCCTGGGCAGGGAAGGTTTCTCAGTGGGAGAAGAACCTAAACTGAGATCTCAAGGACGAGTCCTATTAGGCAACTAGGACTTAGTCAAAGTGGGCAAGGCGGGACCTGAGGGAACACCATGTGCCCAGCAACAAGGGCGAGTTTAGTGCATTTGAGGAACTGACAGTTCTATATGTCTGAGGCACAGACCATGTATGATAATACTCATTTTATTATTTGTGTGTATATGATTATACGTCGCACGTGAAAAACAGTCCCTCTTCTCTACCCTATAAAAAATTCTACGTTGTATGAAATGGCCAATGTGTTGTTTTTGTACATAAAATAGTTATAAAACTCCATCGTCTCTAATTAATCGATAGTAGCTGTTGAGATTTTAATTGGAATTCCTAGAAGTTTTAGATTAATTTAGATTAATTTGACATGCCGTATTTTCCTACTCATGAAGATAAAATATAAAAAAACAAAACCAGTTGCTGGCCAGTCAATTCCAACTCATGGCGACCCTATTGTACTTCAGAGTAGAACTATGCTCCACGGGGTTTTCAACGGCTCTGTGATCTTTTGGAAGCAGATCGCCAGGACTTTGCTCTGAGGCATCTCTGGGTGGATTCAAACTGCCAACCTTTCAGTTAGTAGCTGAGCACTTAATCATTTGTGCCCATCCAGGGACTCCTTGAATATAAATCTATCACTACCCCTCCGCCCCGGCAAAAAAAACTATACCCGTTGCCATCAAGTCAATTCCGACTCACAGGCCGCCATTTATTGAAGACTTCTCTTACCTCCTTCGATGGTTGTAGAATTCTCTCCACAAAAGCTTTGTATATTTTTCTTAGGTTTACTCACAGGCACTTTATAGTTTCTGTTGCTACTCTGAATGTCGTATTTTCTCGTCTGATATAACTGGTCTCATGGAATGCAATTGATTTTTATATGCTTATTGCCTTTTAATTTTACTATCAATTTTTGGGGATGAAAAACATAAAGTGAAATTATGTCTTGGTATTATGTGTCTTTTACCTTTTAAGGGATCTATCTCTGGGAATTAAAACAAAGAAGAGAGAAAACAACATCAACAGCAGTTTATCACCACACAGGATAAGAGCCAGCTGAAGGGAGAACTCCATTCTCATACCTACTGCACCCCCCAGTGGACAGACTGTGCATTTTACAGAAAGCTTCAGTACAAAGTTTCCAGACATTTACTGTTCATTAATTGTAGTTTAAAACAGAAATCTAGTCTTGAAAAAAAAAAACTTTTTAAAAGGCATTATCCTACTTTTCTGCTAGAAAGATTAATGATCTTAGGGAATATTTGATGAATGAGGATCTTATTAATATGAACAGGTAAATTATATGAAAGATATTTAAAAAGCTGCATATCAACATACACAGTTATTTATTTTTTAGCATCTCAAGTATTTCAAAGTCATTACTGTAAACACCAATGATGATAGTTGAGTATTTTATGTACAAATCTAGAAAACTGAACTAAATATATGCTCATCCAGGGCAAGGTCAAGAAATTGAGGTTTGTTTTTGTTTTTTCTATTCTAATTATATGATTTCCTGATGGGTCTACACACCAACTATTGCAAGTGTTAACCATTCTAAAACTTAAAATCAGGGAAGGAACTGGATTTGTCAAACTATTACACTCACTGAAAGAGTTGTGCATCTCGCTATCTCCATTTCCTCACCTGTCGGTTCTTTTCTGAATCCACTTTAGATTTTCATCCTCTCTACTCTATAATCTGCTCCTTAAGGTCTCCAATGACCTCCATTCTTCCAAATTCAATGGTAAATTCCCAGTCCTCATGCTATGTGACCTTGTCACAGTACCTGAAACAGTTGGGTCACTCTCTCCTTCTAAAAATTGCCCTTGGCTTTCAAAACACCAGACTCTCCACTGTTTCCTCTCCACTCACTGGTCACTCTTTTCTATTCTCTGATGTTCTTTCTCCTCCTCTCAACTCTAAATGTCAAAGTGGCCCAGGGCTCAGTACATGCACCTGTTCTCTACCTATACTCAGGCCCTAGCCACTCATCAAATCCCATAGGTTTAAATACTATATGCTGATGCCTCTAGCGTTCCCATTACCAGCTTCAAACACTGCCCTAAGCTGGAACCTCCTGAGCACCTCCTCTTGGGAGTCTAATGGCCATCTCAAATGCACCACGTCCCAAACAGAGCACTATAACTACCTACAAGCCTGGCCCATCTCAGTAAGAAGCATACTTGATTCTTCCCTTTTCTTACACCCGACAACCAATCCATCAGCAAATCCTGTTGGCTCTACTATTAACATATATCCCAATTTCAACCACTTCTCACAACCTCTGTTACTACCTTAGTCTAAACCACTTTCCACTTCTACCTGGATGAATACAACAGTCTCCTAACCTCTCTCCCTGTTTCTGATCTCAGTACCCTACCAGAAAAACTCACTACCCAATAGCCACAGTGACCTTTACAAAGTGTAACACAGACCACATCATTCACCTACCCCTATTCTAAACTCTCCACTGGCTTCCCACCACAGTCAGTAAGTCCAAATCCCATGTAATCTAGCTCCTGCCTCTCCTCAACATTCAGGCCTACCACTTCCTGCCTCATTTACCCTGCTCCAGCCTCACTACCCTGCTATTCTACCCTGCTATTCAGGATAATCCTTCTCTTCCTTCTGACTAGAGCACGTACCCCTGATATTCACCTGGCTCACTCTCCTACCTTATTCAGGTGTCTACCCAATGTGACCTCCTCAGAGAGGCTTCCACTGACCATGCAATCTGGACAGCACCTCCCTGGCCCTGATCACTCTCTAGAGCTGATTGAGTTTTCTTCACAGCACTTTCACTACTTGACATTATGTGTCTATTTCATTTCTTGTCAGTTCTTCCACTAGCAGGAGGACTTGATCTATCTCATGCCTTTTTCCACTGTGCTTAGACTAGTTCCTGGCAAAGAGTAGGTCCCCAGTAAATATTGCTGAAGAAAGGAATTCACTCACCACCTGCTCCTACCATAAGCAAGAGAAATAAGAAGCTAACAAGAATTGTTTCAAGGAATTACTTCTCATATTCCTGGGAGATTCAGACAAAACTACAAAATTACTAGATTTATGCTCCTGACTCTAGGTGGAAATAACCCCAGATACTTATGCCAGGTTCTAGCATATCTTATGTTTCCCGGGATTAGTTAATGATACAACTTCTAGCTAGCTATTAAGATATTAACCCAATATTTCAAGGTACATTTATCACGTATTACTAAGATTCATTTTAATAATAAGACTTCTATCTTTCACTCTGTCAAAAACTTTTTAAACCTAATCAGGCAGTAAAAAAAGAAGATAGAATAAGAAAAATATGTTAATAAAAGCTTTAAATCAATATAGGTCACTCTGAGGATGAAAAGCAAAGCTCCAGATGGAAGACGCTGCTGGAGACAAACATTAACAGCAGGCGACATGTTCAACGACCCCTTATGTTCCTTCAAAACTTGAAGGTGCAGAGCTAGCATCACAATATGCATAAAAGTGTTAAGGGATCCTTTGATTTAATAAATTTTCACTTTCCTAGAGATAAGTTTAGTAATTTTGCAACCTGTGTTAACTCTCTTAAGTCACGTGGACAAGGAGAATTGAAAGATACTAAAAATACAGTAATGAAATATTTGCTTGCATAATTTTAAAAACTGGCTCAAATCTGGGTATCTCAAACACCTATATCTAGAGTTATAGTATTCTCTAACATGTGAGTGAAGTTATCTATTAAAAAGATAGTTGACCTTATCCAGCAATTTAAATGAAACTAGATTATTAAGTATGAACCTCAGTTACATCCCACGATACAGAAAAAAAGTGGTAAGTGTGAACTCTCTACTAAGTCCTTTACATAATTATTGCCATAATCTGCTTTTCAGAATTGTAGACAAACCTGTCATTTCCTTATATTTTTTTTTCCTTCAGTCAGAAGGGGCCTGAGCATTAAGAGTTCAACAATATATATCCATTTTGTTTCCCAGAAAAGTATAAATGTTCCTAAGTGTGTTAAAATCTAGCATAAACCAGTTCAGATAGGCAATCTTGACTGTTGCTGTTGTTAGGTGCCATTGAGTCAGATCCAACTTATAGCAACCCTATGTACAAAAGAATGAAACAGTACCCGATCCTGTACCATCAAAACAATCGATGCTATGTTTCAGACAATTGTTGCCGCCACTGTGTCAATCTATCTCATTAAAGGTCTTCCTCTTTTTCGCTGACCTTCTGCATTAACAAGCATGATATCCTTCTCCAGGGACTGTTCTTTCCAGATAACATGCCCAAAGTATCTGATACAAAGTCTTGAAATCCTTGCTTCTAAGGAAGATCCTGGCTGTACTTCTTCCAAGACAGATTTGTTCATTCTTCTAGCAGTCCATGGTATTATATTCAATACTCTTCACCAACACAATAATTCACAGGCATCAGTTCTTCCATGGTCTTTCTTATTCACTGTCCAGCTTTCGCATGCACATTAGGTGACTGAAAATACATGGCTTGGGTCAGAAGCACCTTAGTCCTCAAAGTGACATCTTTGCTTTTTAACACTTCAAAGAGATCTTTTGCAGCACATCTGCCAATGTAATACATCGTTTGACTTCCCGACTGCTGCTTCCATGGGTATTGACTGTGGATCCAAGTAAAATGAAATCCTTGGCAACTTCAATCTTTTCTTCATTTATCATGATGTTGTTTATTGGTCCAATTGTCAGGATTTTTGTTTTCTTTATATTGAGGTGTAATCATACTGAAGGCTGTGGTCTTTGATCTTCATCAGTAAGCACTTCAAGATCTCTTCACTTTCAGCAAGCAAGGTTGTGTCATCTGCATATCGCAGGTTGTTAATAAGTCTTCCTCCAATCCTGATGCTGCATTCTTTTTCATATAGTCCAACTTCTCAAATTATTTATTCAGCACACAGAATGAAAACGTATGGTGAAAGTATACAAACCTAATGCACACCTTTCCAGATTTTAAACCACTCAGTATCTCCTTGTTCAACGACTGCCTCTTGGTCTATATACAGGTTATACGTAAGTACAATTAAGTGTTCTGGAATTCCCATTTTTCAGAACGTTAACCATAATTTGCTATGATCCACACAGTTGAATGCCTTTGCACAGTCAATAAAACACAAGTAAACATCTTTCTGGCATTCTCTGCTTTCATCCAAGATCCATCTGACATCAGCAATGATATCCCTCATTCCACATCCTCTTCTGTACTACTGCAACAGTTTCAGAACTATCTTCAACAAAATTTTACTTGTATGTGATATTAATGATACTGTCCAATAATTTCTACATTCTGGGGAATCACCTTTCTTTGGATTCTTTGGAATCACAAATATGGATCTCTTCAGTTGGTTGGTCAGGTAGCTGTCTTCCAAATTTCTTGGCATAGATGAGTGAGCACTTCCAGTATAGCATCGTTTGTTGAAACATCTCAATTAATATTTCATCAATTCCTGGAGCCTTGCTTTTCGTCGATGCTTTCAGTGCAGCTTGGACTTCTTCCTTCACTACCATCAGTTCTTGGTCATATGCTATCACCTAAAATGTTTGAACATCGACCAATTCCTTTTGGTACAGTGACTCTGTGTATTCCTTCCATCTTCTTTTGATGCTTCCTGCATTGTTCAATATTTTCCCCGTAGAATCCTTCAACATTACAACTCAAAGCTTGAATTTTTTCTTCAGCAATTTCAGCTTGAGAAATACTGAGCATGTTCTTCCCTTTTGGTTTTCTAACTCCAGGTCTTTGCACATTTCATTTATAATACTTTACTTTGTCTTCTTGAGCTGCCCTTTTAAATCTTCTGTTTAGCTCTTTTACTTCATCATTTGTTCTGTTCTCCTTAGCTACTCTATGTTCAAGAGCAAGCTTCAGTGTCCCTTCTGACATCCATTTTGGTCTTTTTCTTTCCTGTCTTTTTAACGACCTTTTGCTTTCTTCACATATGATGTCTTTGATTTCAGTCCACAACTCGTCTGGTCTTTGGTCATTACTGTTCAATGAGTCAAATCTATTCTTGAGATAATCTCTAAATTCAGACAGTATATACTCAAAGTTGTACTTTGGCTCTAGTGGACTTGTTTTTCTTCAGTTTCAGCTGGAATTTGCACATGAGCAATTGATGGTCTGTTCTGCAATTAGCCCCTGGCCTTATTCTGACTGATAATAATTGAGCTTCTCTATCATCTCTTTCCACAGATGTAGTCAATTTGATTCCTGTTTCTTCCATCTGGCGAGGTCCACATGTATAATTGCTGTTTATGGTGTTGATAAAAGGTACTTGCAATGAATAAGTCATTGGTCTTTCAAAATTCTATCATGTGATCTTTAGCGTAGTTTCTATCACCAAGGCCATATTTTCCAACTACCATTTCTTCTTGTTTGCTTCTAACTTTCACGTTACAATGACCAGTAATTATTGATGCATCTTGATTGCATGCTTGATCAATTTCAGACTGCAGAAGTTAGTAAAAATCTTCAATTTCTTCATCTTTGTCATTAGCGGTTAGTGTGTAAATTTGAATAATAGTCATATTAACTGATATTCCTTGTAGACGTACAGATAATATCCTATCACTGACAGTATTGTACTTCAGGACAGATCTTCAAATGCTCTTTTTGAGGATGAATGTGACACCATTGCTCTTCAATTTGTCATTCCCGGCATAGTAGACCACATGACTGTCCATTTTAAAATGGACAATACCAGTCCATTTCAGCTCACTAATGCCTAGGATATCGATCTTTATGTGATCCATTTCATTTCTGACACCTCCCAATTTTCCTAGGTTCATATTTCATACATTCCACGTTCTGATTATTAATGGATGTTTGCAGCTGTTTCTTCTCATTTTGAGTCATGCCACATCATCAAATGAAGGTTCCAAAAGCTTTATTCCAACCCACATCATTCCAGTCAACTCTACTTTGAAAAGGCAGCTCTCCCCCAGTCGTAGTTTGAGTGCCTTCCAACCTGAGGGGCTCATCTTCCAGCAGTATATCATACAATGTTCTGCTGCTATTCATAAGGTTTTCACTGGCTAATTTTTTTAGAAGTACATAGCCAGGTCCTTCTTCCTAGTCTGTCTTAGTCTGGAATCTCCACTGAAACCTATCCACTAAAGGTGATCCTGCTGGTATTTGAGATACTGGTGACATAGGTTCCAGCATCACAGCAAGAGGCAAGCCACCACAGTACAACAAACTGAGAGATGAGTGGTGGTATCTTGATAGCACATCTAATACGGATTACTGTTCCCTTTCTTCTTGTTTATTTTTCTAGTTTTTCTATGCATATTAGCAGATGATGTGCATGTTTAGCTAAAATTTCACCTACCATCAAACAAAAGTAATTTTATACTTATTTACGCGGTGAATCCACCCAGGATCCTTTGCTGAAAGAAACATCCCAGTGTTACCTGGATGAGAGTGTTTCTTACCTCTTTTGGCTTACTGGCAATGGCAATGCTGCCATCTTTGTTGTATCTGATCGGTGACCCTCCTTCTTGTATCAGGGTCCCATACCCTGTGCTGGTGTAAAACGCAGGAACTCCAGCCCCACCTGCACGAATCCTCTCTGCAAGAGTGCCCTACAAGTGAACAACCAACATCACCATAAAAAGTTAAATAAGCAGTTAAGCACACCTGTGTATGTGAACACAGAAACGTTTACAGACATGGCCTCTACATTGTAAACCAAAAACAGCAAACCAGTTGCTGTTGAGTCAATTTTGACTCATGATGACCCCATGTGTTCCAGAGTAGAACTGCACTCCACAGGTATTCAGTGGCTCTGACCTTCCAGAACATCACCAGGCCTTTTTCCAAGGCCCCTGTGGGTGGACTCAAACCATCAACTTTTCAGTTAGTAGCCAAGTGCTTGATTGCTTCCATCACCCAGGGTCTCCTTCCTCTCTAGAGGCTTGGAATTCTAAAAAGAACCTCATATTGTATATTAGTATGAGTATTTCACTACCACTATATGCTGGAAAATCAATTTAAAAAATAATGCTGCTTCTCTAGACAACAATCTATTCTTAATCCACATTCAAAATGTAACACCTTATGTGTATAGTCATGTTTCCAGCTTCCATGCCTGCCACTGGTTTCTTGCCATCATATTCTATATTAGTTTGGTTTCAATATTTTTCAATTAATATTTGAATATGAATTATGTATATTTAGGTACCTACATTAAAATATATATATAATTAAATTTTTCACTTTACAGAGTACTACGGAGGTAGAGCCTAAATCTTATTATCATTAATAGCAAGAAATCAACAAAGAGTTCAAATTTACTTTAGAATTTCTTTATTTTAAATCATTTCATTAAGTATTTTATGTACTAAATTATCTAACCAAGGAAAAAGAAAAAATTAAGCAGAGTACAACATACAGGTAAATTGGTTCTTAAAGTCCAAGAGTACTTTAAATGTGTTTCAGGGTAGAAACATGCCCTGCAAGAAAAGTTCTAAATCTGTGTCTTCTTTTGGTTGGTCACCTTCCTTTCCAATGAGTAACTGTTACAGATTGAACTGTGTCTCCCAAAAATGTGCACTAACTTGGCTAGGCTGATTCCCAGTATTGTGTGGTTGTTCTCCATTTTGTGATCTGATAATCTTATGTGTTGTAAATCCTAACCTCTATGATGTTAATGAGGCAGGATTAGAGGCAGTTATGTTAATGAGGCAGGATACAATCTACAGGATTAGGTTGTATCTTGAGTCAATCTCTTTTGAGATATAAAAGAGAAGTAAGCAGTAAGGAGAGGTACCTCCTACCACCAAGAAAGAAGAGCTGGGAGTGGAGCGTGTCCTTTGGACCCAGGATCCCTGTGGTGAGAAAATCCTAGACCCAGGGGAAGACTGATGAAAAGGACCTTCCCCCAGAGCCAACAAAGACGGAAAGCCTTCCCCTGGAGCGGGCTCCCTGAATTCGGACTTCTAGCCTCCTAAACTGTGAGAGAATAAATTTCTGTTTCTTAAAGTACTTGTGGTACTTCTGTTATAGCAGCACTAGATAACTAAGACAGTGACTCTTTCCCCTCCTAGGCCCCAGTGATTTCAAACTGCTTCCCTAGTGGGTGTGGTTTCCTCTCCCTCACCCTACCTACCCCCTCCTCCACACCTTTACACCAGGTTTTCTGAGAGGAACGACTCTGGCCCTGAATACTCTCCTTAACATTGAAACCTACTTGCATAGTCTTGCTACATCACGGTCTGGCTAGATAACTGGCTAATTGGTAGTAAGAACTGGTCTAGGTATTAATGACCAAAACCAAAATCAAATGCACGGCCATGGAGTTGATTCCGACTCATAGTGACCCCATAGGGTTTCCAAGGCTATAAATCTCTACAGAAGCAGACTGCCAGATCTTTCTCCTGCAGAGCCACTGGTGGTTTAAAACTGCTGAACTTTCAGTCAGCAATCAAGTGCTTTAACCACTGTGCCACCAGGGCTCCTTGCAATATTACTCAGATCCGAAAACAATTTTTTATTTAACTGGGGTCTTTAAATACCTAACTTAAAGGAAGGATAAAGAGTCTGGATTTCAGACATTGAGGCATGCAAGTAGTTGGGACATTATGGAGAAGCAGGGGTTTGTGACTTAAGAGAAAACCTGCCAGATAACTGGTTCTCTGTTCTATCTAACAGATAGAGATAACTCAACTTTGTGTTGTGGATATTTTGTTATTAACATTCCCCAAAATTAAATAATCAAAACAATCATAACAACACCCCCTACTTTAAAATATTTTTTATGTCTACCCTCCCTGAATACTTCACTTCTCTGTCCAATTTGACAAGAGCATGAACGTAGAATAGTTCTGTACACAGGCTCTGTTTAGCTACCACCAAGCCCCCACCTACCCTCTACCATTTTGCCAACACCTCACCCACTGGCTCTCAGGCTGCAAAACAAGCTGCCAGAGCCACTGTTTATGTAAGAGCCAACAAGTTGGACAAGGAGACACTGGCCTCTTTCAGCTTAAAGAAAGAACATAAAAGAAATATTAAGGAAGTTCTTCTCCCATGCATATGCCCTCTGATAAAATAAGAGGCAATTCAAAAGATACACAAGGTAAACGAAAAGTGAACATCCAATAGCTCCACAACACTAAGGAATAAGGTATCTCAACCTAGAATGTGAACAGGAAAAGTATACCTTTTTTTTCCCCCAAAATACTTTAAATGAAAGTTGGATATATACTAAGCATAATGCAATACCTTGATAAGCATGGGAGACAATGCTGCAGAATATCCAGGTGTAATAAAGCAACATTTGTGAGGCCTCAGAAAGAACAGTTCTCTCATATACACTCTCTAGACTAGCGTGTTGTTGTTGTTAGGTATCTTCCAGTCAATTCCAACTTATAGCAACCTCATGTGACAGAGCAGAACTGCTCCACACAATTTTCTTGGCTGTAATCTTTACGAAAGCAGATTGTCAGGTCTTTCTCTCGTGAAGCCGCTGGGTGGGTTTGAACCACCAACCTTTACGTTAGCGGTCAAGCACTTAAATCTTGCACTACCAGGGCTCCTTCAGACTAGCATATACTGTGATTTTTACTGAATATTAAAAAAAAAAAAAAAAAAAAACTGCCACATTAAGTTATTAACAACTCAGTGAAGTTAGTAGAAATAGTATCTTTTGTTGACAAAAGAAAGCAGAGTGGAGAGCTCAGTCTCAGGGATGAGGCAGACCATGTCAAAATGAAAAACGAACAAATGCAACCTATAGCCCTTTGTTTTACTCAAAAGGCCTTCAAAGAGTTCGCCCTCCTCTATGTCAAACTCTTTTATCAGTTAGGAGATGATGTAGAAAATTAGTGGAAACTTGCTGGCTTCATTGTAGCCATTGCTTGCTTTGTAATAAGATCAGTTCCCTGGAGACCTGGGCTCTGACACCAGCACTTCTCTGCAGTGTTGAGTGGTGCTCTCCACGGGCTTTACTCTCCTGATGTGCAAGAGGAGGGAGCAAGACCAGGTCACTCACAAAGCAACCCCGTTTCTAACATTCTATGATTTGTAGAAACTGACTATTAGGGCAATCTTGGAAACACTCCAGCAACTCCTTTTGCATGCTTCCAGCACAATATACATTATAATGGCAAATTTTAAAATGTATCCTGTGGCCTAGACGATTTTACTAGAAATATCTCCTTTTTCAGTGTACAGTGACAGAAAATATTAATCTTCTACCTCTTATTGAAAAAGAGGAAAGACTACTGCCTTTCAGTATGGATTACACCTCAACATAAAGAAAACAAAAATCCTCACAACTGGACCAATAAGCAACATTATGGTAATCAGAGAAAATATTGAAGTTGTCAAGGATTTCATTTTTCTTAGATCCATAATCAATGCCCATGGAACAGCAGTGAAGAAATCAAACAAGGTACTGCATTGGGCAAATCTGCTGCAAAAGACCTCTTTGAAGTGTTGAAAAGCAAAGATGTCACCTTGAAGACTAAGGTGCACCTGACCCAAGTCATGGTGTTTTCAATTGCTTCACATGCATGCAAAAGCTGGACGAAGAATAAGAAAGACTAAGGAAGAACTGACACCTCTGAACTATGGTGTTGGTGAAGAATATCAAATATACCATGGACTGCCAAAAGAACGAACAAATCTCTCTTGGAAGAAATACAGCCAGAATGCTCATTGGAAGCAAGGAACCTGTTATGAACCTGTTATCAGGAGGGATCAGTCCCTGGAGAAGGACATCATGCTTGGTAAAGTAGAGGGTCAGTGAAAAAGAGAAGACCCTCAATGAGCTGGATTGACACAGTGGCTGCAACAATGGGCTCAAGCATAACAATGATCATGAGGATAGTGCAGGACGTGGTAGTGTTTCGTTCTGTTGTACACAGGGTCGCTATGAGTTGGAACCCACTTGACAGCACCTAACAACAAGCAAATCAACAGGTATGACCTACCAACAAAATTCCTTGGTTTGGCAAAATAGCATCCTTTCTGCCTAACATACTTTGCATAAAGAAGTTTCTAGAGAATAAAATAAATTTTTAAATAAGTTAGTATTGTAAAAATAAATAAATAAAAAGTCACTTTTCTAGCAATTTCATTTTCTTTGGATCCACAATCAGCACCCACGGTAGCAGCAGTCAAGAAATCAAATGACATATTGCATCAGGCAAATCTGCTGCAAAAGACCTCTTTAAAGTGTTAAAAAGCAAAGATGTCACTTTGAGGACTACGGTGCTTCTGACCCAAGTCATGGTATTTTCAATCGCCTCATGTGCATGTAAAAACTGGACAATGAATAAGGAGGACCAAAGTAGAACTGATGCCATTGAATATGGTGTTGGTGAAGAATATTGAATATATCATGGACTGCCAGAAGAATGAACAAATTTGTTTTGGAAGAACTACAGCCAGAATGCTCCTTAGAAGTGAGGATGGCGAGACTTTGTCTCATGTAGTTTGGACATGTTATCAGGAAGGACCAGTCCCTGGAGAAGGACATCATACTTGTTAAAGTAAAGGGTCAGCTAAAAGAGAGGAAGACCCTCCATAAGATGGATTGACACGGTGGCTACAACAGTGGGCTCAAGCATAGCAACGATTGTGAGGATGTCAAAGGATTGGGCAGTGTTTCATTCTGTTGTACACTGGGTCACTATGGGTGGGAACGGACTGGACGGCACCTAACGACAACAACAACAGCTTTTCTAGCATCAGGAAATCATCTTACCTGAGGTGTCAACTCTACTTCTAGTTCACCAGCTAAGTACTGTCGTTCAAATTCTGCATTTTCTCCCACGTAGGAAGAAACCATGCGTTTTATCTGCCTGGAGTGAAGTAAAAGGCCCAAGCCAAAGTTGTTGACCCTAGAAGGAAAATGAAGGCAGCTTAAAATCAAAGGACCATTTCTAATTGAACATTATTATCACTTACATTCAAAAAGAGATGAAATTTCATTAATTTAGAGGAAAAGAAAACTTCTCTGCTAAGCACTTAATCCACATGTTCTCTTACACCTGCCTCCCACCCAAAGAACCTTGTAAGGTGGCTCTTCTTTTTATTTTACAGTCAAGGAAGCTAAAGTTCAAAAAGTGTAAGGTCTTGTGCAGTAAGTGACACAGCCAGTATTCAAACCCATGTCAACCCCAAACTTCTTCTTCTTCCAGCTGCTCCAAAGTGACCCTGGGTTAGAAGATGAGCCCATAGATGGACTGGTTCCTGCCCTACACTTTACTTAATGCATACTTAAATGCCATGGCAACTCCACTGTCCTAACCTGCACTGACTCCAAATGAAGGCTTGGACAGAGAGCTCTTTCTGTCCTAAGAAAAAAGGGCAAGAGAGAGGGACACCCTCGGTTTCTATTAAAAGAGAGATGACTAGCATACTTCTGAAAAACGAAACCAAATTATAAACAGTGATGAACATTTTTCCTACATAACAGGTATTTTACTCTCAGGAAAGATTTACACATATATACGTACCACTAAAATTTTTTTTTATATGTGTGTGTGCGTATAAATATGTGTGTGTGTATATATATTTATATGTATGTATGTATGTATGTATATTTGGAGCCCTGGTGGCCCAGTGGTAAAGTGCTATGGCTGTTGACCAAAAGGTCAGCTGTTTGAATCCATCAGCTGTTCCTTTTCCAAGAAATTGACTCAATGGCAATGGGTTTTTGGTTTTGGTATATATACATACACTCGAGATAGATATATATATATACGTACGATTTGTATATATGTATATACATCTCGAGTGTATGTATATCCGGAGGTATATATACATACACACACACATATATATAGTAAGCCCCGCCCAGTGTCACCCCACCCTGTTCCTGTCCCCAGCCCGAGGAGCAGCCCCTTCGCCCATGCCCATTACTCCATGTGGAAGTGCCATCAGCATGCCGGACAAAATACCCTACAAAGTCGCTCACATCAGCCTGGCCTCCCGGGAACACAAGGCCCTGAACATAGTTTCAGGTACGGCACCATGTGTAACAAACCGCCGCCATTTCTCCTAACAGCAGCCTTTTCACCTGCCTTCACTCCACTCCTCATTCTCATACTCCTCACATCCATAAGTGGCCAATCCAGTTCAACTGACCCTTCACCAATTCTCAGACTATATCATTTCTAAGACTCTCACTTCCACCAGTCAGGGCAGACACACTGTACACCTTAAAGTAGTCCAAGCAATAGGTATGTACCAATAGCACAGTAGTTAAGAGCTTGGCTGCTAACCAAAAGGTCAGCAGTTGGAACCCAACAGCTGCCCCTTGGAAACCCTAGGGGGCAGTTCTACTCTGTCCTATAAGGTCATTATGAGTCAGAATTGACTCGATGGCAAGGGTTTTAACCTTCTCCCAAAATTGTTTCATAGTCCTAGCCTTTGAATCCTGAATATGGTAATACTTCCCACTCATTATGGCTATTAAAGAAACAGCTGCACGATTTACTCTCACTTGTTTCAAAAGGAAACTAAGCCTAAATAACGGAAGTACTTTCAAGAGTGTACTTTAGAGTGATGGGGAGAATTCCCTGCAGGTTGAAAATTCACTTGTCCACCAGAGGTCTCCAAATCACTAAAGATTCTCTTTCTTTCTAGGACTCTCTTTCCCATCCCCTCTCATACACAAAATGCGTTCTGACTTCTCTTTTTTTTACCTACTCCTGAAAACCTGGCCATCTGCTCACAGAAAGACTAGCCATTGCCAACAAGTTGATTCTGACTCAGGGACCCTCTAGGGGAGAGTAGATTGCCCCTTAGGGTTTCCAAGGCTGTAATCTTTACAGACGCAGACTACCACATCTTTCTCCCCCTGAGCGCCTGGTGGGTTCGAATCACCAACCTTACGGTTAGCAGCCAAGTGCGTAACCACTGCGCCACCCAAGGTCCTTCACATAAAGATTACAGCCCAGAAAACCCTATGGGGGCAGATCTACTCTGCCACATGAGGTTGCTATCAGTCAAAATTGACTTGATGGAACCTACAAACAACAAATACCTAGTTAGGTCCCCATCTCTTCAGTTCAATAATTCTAGTCTCCAAAACTCAGCTCCACCTGCAGCCTTTCCCATCTCAGCTGATAGCAACACTGTCCATGAGGATGCTCAGTACAAAGACACTGCAGTGATCTTTAACTGCCCTCTCATAGGCTCCACATCAAATCTATCCTGCTGACTCCACCTTCAGATTCTATGCAGAACTGGACCATTTCTCACTCCCTCTCTGTGACCTGCACCATCTCTTGCCTGGACACTGCAATAACCTTCCCTGCTTCTCCTTCTGCCCCTACTATCTACACACAGTGTGACAGCCAAAGTGAGCCTTATAAAATGTAAGTCAGATCATGTCACCCCTCTGCTCAAAATGGTGCAATGATGCTCCATTCACTCAGAGTGAAAGCAAGGGTCTCTAGAGTGGCCAGCAAGGCCCCATGTGATCTGAAGCCCTTTATGTCTCTGGCCCACCTCCTCCCACTCTGCCTTTTGCTCACTTCTCTAACTCTGCTAGCTTCCTTAATGTCTCTCAAATACACCAAATATATTCTGCCTGGGGTCCTCTGCAGGGACCTTTCCCTGTCTGGGAAATTCTTCCCCCTAAATAACTGCATGGCTCACTCCCTCTGTTATGGATTGAACTGTGTCCCCCCTACCCCAAAATATGTGTTGTAAATCTTAACCCTTATACCTGTGGTTATAACCCCATTTGCAAATGGGTTTTCTTTGTTATGTTAATGTGGCAGTATTAGTGGAGGATGTATTTTACATCAATCCCTTTGAGATATAAACCCAGTAGATTAAGTACAGAGAAGCAAGTGGAGATGGAGAAAGACAGATGCCATGCCATATGAAGATCACCCTGAAAAGACAAGGACCTTCCCCCAGAGCTGACAGAGACAGAAAGCCTTCCCCTAGAGCTGGCACCCTGAATTCGAACTTCTAGCCTCCTACACTGTGAGAAAATACGTTTCTGTTTGTTAAAGCCACTCACTTGTGGTTTCTGTTATAGCAGCACTAGATAACCAAGACACTCTCCTTCCTCCAAGTCTCTGCTCAAAAGTTACCTCCATGAGTCCTATCCTGATCACCCTAAACCTGTCCTTCCGTTTTCATACTCCCAGTCCCTCTTTCTTGTTCTACTTTCCTTTTTACCATAGCACTTATGACCTTCTAACATACCAGAAAATTTACTTATTTGTTATATTTACTATTTATTGCCTGCATCTCCCTACTAGAATGTAAACTCCAGGAAGGCAGAGGTCTTGGTCTGTTTTGTTCACTGTTATAACCCAGAGACATAGATGGCACACGGTATGTTTAAATATCCATAAATATCTACTGAATATTTGTTGAATGAATTTATTGCTTAACTCTACTTCCTCCTCTTCTCCAATAAAAATGAAAATAATCAAGTCATTGTGCTGGATTTTCTGTCTGACCCTCCAAATCCATTCTCCAACCTCCACCATCCTTCCCTGTGCGTGTGATAGTTGTCCTGTATAGACTGAATCATGGGGCTCTCTTGCCTTCCGGCTTCTCATTGGGTTCCATTAATGGAGGCACCATCAGGAAATCAGATGAGTAGAGAATGAGGTTAGGGTTTATATTCTCCCGCTCCATCTCTGACAGGCTACAGCACATTGGATAGCCCTCTCCATAAAGCTTTCTTCCAGGTCCTGGTAACAGCTAGCTGCCCTCATTCCTTCTGGCCAAGGGCTGGTGGCAACAACTCTCTTCTGTACTAACCCTAGGGGTCTTTACTACTCATGTTGCTTTCCCTAAACCTTGACCATTCCTTTAAAAAGAGTCCCTTTGATAAACTCTCCTCAATTACCCAATACGAAAGTACCATTGATTGCCTCTGGAATCTGACTTACAAAGCCATAATAATAAAATAATCTATGAAAGTGATTATAGCCCACTTCCTTTCCACAGTTTTAAATATCTAGAAATTCCTACCAAACCCCCTCCAAGACTACAGGTCTGTAATATAAACCAGACGTAGTTGGTCATTAATGACTTGGGAATATTTCTAACCACATTTGAGGAGCTCTGTCTGGCTTTTCAATCCATTATACATTTGAATTTGGCTATTTGGAGATGACCTCCCTGTATCTGTTGATCTTGGCTCTGAGAATCATTGTGTATTTGGCCTTGGCTTTGTTTCTGGACTAGCATCCTACACGGCAACCAAGTAGTGCATAAGATGCTGAGTCCAGGCTACCACCTGACCAGGCAAGTACAAAGTCAGCCTTCATGCCAGAAAAATGCTGTTAGATGCAGAATGTCTTTCTTGCCACATACTCACTTTTCAATTCACAAATTCAGCAAACATGTCTTACCTTACTTACTATGTGCCAAACACTGAGGATCTAAAAATGAATAAGGCAAGCCACTTACCTCCAAGGGCTCAAAGTATAAACACAGGTGAAAGACATATTTGATCTTTTGCAGATGAAGAACATACAATTTCTAATAAAGAAATGTGTATAAAAACATTTCATGGCTCTTTGGTATTGAAGATATTTCTGATGGACTTTCAAATCGATTACTTGCTTGCCTTTAGTGGTCAAGACTTCTTTAGCATACCTAAGAGAGAAATTTGATCTTTTTCCTACAAGACAACAAACTTGATTTTCAAACATTTTGTTGTTAAGTCTAGAGCCAAGAATTCATTAAACAGATAAATTAATGTAAAACAAAAGTATATTGTATGGAAGACATCAACGTTCTGCAAATATTCTGATTTTCTGAATCTGAAATTTCATTTTCTGAATTTTCATTTTCTCAAGTCTTATTAATTGGCAATTCTTATCAAATTAAAGGAGCCCTGGTGGCTCAGTGGTTAAGAGTTTGGCTATTAACCGAAAGGTCTGCAGTTCAAACCCACCAGCTGTTCCTTGGAAACCCTATGGGGCAGTTCTCCTCTGTCCTATAGGGTCGCTATGAGTCAGAATCCACTCGACGACATCGGGTTTGGTATGATTTTGGGGTATCAAAATAAAACTCTAACAATAACGTAGCAACCATTTACCAAACCGTATTTCTCTTATTTGCTCATTTTAAACATAGTTAAATCTCAATCATACAATTTATATTTACTCTGATAATATCAAGTATATCAAAAGAAAATAAAATGCTATATTGGAACATAAGGTTAATTTATGACAGTTATATAAGACAAATGAAATCTTTCGTGAGCTGAGCACAAAAGTTCAAATGTACATTCCAGGAAGTGGTTTAGTCCTTCCCAGCTAAGACACCCAAATCTTGGGAAACTATATCAGCCAAGTGGCCTAGATCCTTTCCATTGAGCCCTTCAGAACCCTTCAGAGCCATAGCTGCCTCAACAAGAAGAAAGGTAGCACAGCAGTGAAGGGTCACTTGCCTTTATCTCCAGGTTCAAAATCATTGTGCAGAACCAGAAACATTATTTAAGGCGAGGAACTGCTCAGCGGGCCCTCGTAAAATTCCTATACTTGCCTAGTATAGCACTAATATGCAAATAGTAGTATTACAATCACAAGCTCAGATACATGTATATATTATCTTTAAGTCTTCTGTCAGCCTCCCACTTGTAAGTGGGGCTGTCCCTGGAGTTGTCTAAATCCTCACACTTCAAGAACTGTAGTCTAAAATTCTGTCATGAGAAAATAAGCATAACTAACATGCCACACGTATTTCTTTCCCTGGTTCTATGATTTAATTATTTAATGTTTAGTTTATAGTAAAACTTTTGGTTGATACAGGCTTATAACTCTCATGTCAAAGTTCTCCAAAAATCAATGAAAGACATATTCTCAATTTTTTCTACCTCCCTAAAACAAGCCATTGGAGCCCTGGTGGTACAGTGGTTAAGAGCTTGGCTGCTAAGCAAAAGATCGGCAGTTTGAATCCAACAGCCACTCCTTAGAAACCCTATGGGACAGTTCTACTCTGTCCTATATGGTTGCTATGAGTCGGAATCGACTTGACAGCAACAGGTTTGGTTTGGTTTTAATCAACCCATATCAAAGTATTAATTTGGCTGAATGATCCTAAAGGAGAGTTTATCTTATCAAAGCTAACAGTTAATACTCCATACCAAGGTAGTGGTAGCCTATGGCAATTAAAAAAAAAAGTTGCCATAAAGTCGATTCTTACTCATGGAGACCCCACGAGTGTTAGAATAGAACTGTTCTCCATAGGGCTTTCAATGGCTGATTTTTTCAGAAGTAGATCGTCAGGCCTTTCTTCCAAGGTGCCTATGGGTAGACTCGAACTTCCAACCTTTTGGTTAGTAGCTGAGTACATTAACCATTTGTACCACCTATCAATTATTAAAAATAAAATAAAATAAACAGACAACCAGGAGCCTTGAGCTTTGGAAAAACTTCCAATTCAGGCAGATCATTCCATACAGAGTACTTTCTAAATGAGAAAATAGGTATTACTTCTAATTCCGAATTCTCCCCTTTAATCAACAATTTAAATCATGCCAATTATTCTCCAATAAAGCATCTCTAAGTTTTCCTCACTTATCTGACTCTAAAGGCCCAAACAAGATCCTTATTCCTATAGATCTCTATGATTTAAACCCTCCTATTTAAAAGAATCACCGCCAATGAGGGTTTGCAATGTGCCTTGTTTGTGTTCAATGAAGTATGTTATCAGCACCTACTAAGCACCTACTGCATCCCTTGGAAGCACCCAGTTATCTGGAAAAGCCAAAAAATTACTGATAATCAAAAGTATTTTTAATAAATATAAAGTCAGATCAAAGGTCATGGGACGTGTTGAAGAAATATCAAGTAACTGTGAATCAGTTACTTCTCTCTTTACAGGTAATTTTTCTTTGTTAAATGAGGTAACCAGAAGAGATGATCTCTGTGATCCCATCCCTCTAACACTTAGTAATGCTGAGATTCATAAACTAAGCACAATAGGGAATACAAAACAATTGTAAGTAATAGATCAGTATGTAATATATATGAAAGAGAATAAATACAATTCAGTATATAAAGACTAAAAGTTACTAAAGGAATTCAGAAAGGGGCAAGATCAATGAGAGAGAAGTTCTGTAGTTAGAGAAGGCTTCTTTGAGGATATGGAACTTGAGTTGATCATGAAAAAGAGTATTATGGGTTGATTTGTGTCCCCCAAAAAAGATACGTTCAAGTCCTATACCCCGGCACCTGTGAATGTGACCTTATTGGGAAATAGAGTCTTTGCCAATGTAATTAGTTAAATTAACATGAGGTCATACTGGAGTGGGGTGGGCCCTAATCCAATATAACTGGTGTCCTTATAAGAAGAGGAGAAGATGAAGGCAGAGATTGGAATTATGCAAGCCAAAGAATGCCTGGGACTACCAGAATCTGGAAGAGACAAGGAAGGATCTTCTTCTTTGGAGAGAGCATGGCCTACTGACATCCTGAATTCAGCCTTCTAGCCTCTAGACTGAGAGAATAAACTCCTGCTGTTTAAATCCACCCATTTTGTGGTAATCCGTTCTGGCAGCCCCAGGAAACCAATATAGATGGGCAAGAGAAGGATAGGCAGGGTAGAGGTCGGGAAGCATTCCAGATGGGAAAAAATGGGAAAAATAAACACAGAAAAGAGGAATGAGTGGGAATGTGGCATCAGTTTTGTTTACTAAGTAATTTGTGCTATTTCTTTTAAGTTGCATTTATAATACCAGGCTAGACTGCCAATGTGGTTATTTTTTTAAAGTCTTTTAAGATCTTTAAAGCCTTTTTTTTTTCCTGCTGAAAGACAGCTCATGATTTACCATTTTGTATACAAGTAGCTTTTTCCTACAAAAACTAAGTATGTCTAAATGCGCCTGCCATTCTTAAAATGTTATGCCCTATTGTTGACCACTTTGGTATGTGAACCTCTTGTCCTAAGTGCTGGCTGCATATCCTCCTCCTTCTATCAAGATGAGAAACATTTTTATGAATGGTATTTCTTTATATATAATCTAGAGTAACTGGACACATCATCAGGGAAGACCAATCACTAGAAAAGGATATCAGATTTTGTAAAGTGGAGAATCAGCAAAAATGAGGACAACCCTCCATGAGATGGACTAACACAATAGCCTCAACAATGGGCTCAAACATATCAAAGATCACGGAGATGGCTCAGGGCCAGACAACCTTTCATTCTGTTATACATTTGGTTGCCATGAGTCAGAGATAACTCAACAGCACAACAACAACAATGGCATAATCAAAAGAAAGAACTTGAAACAGATTTCAAATTAATATCCATGTTGCTTTATAAATACAGAGCTAACTATCTGTAACAACATACAACATTAAGGATACCTCTTAATTTTAAAATTTAGTAATATTCAATTTGAAAATATATATTCTAATTTTAACAATAAAATTTAGATTTAGAAAAATAAAAGCACAGGTTAAAGGAATATAAAATTACACAAGTCTGTTTTACTTTTGATTATGAAGGCCTGCACCAAAAATATTTGGATAAACGTATCCTCTACTCTTGACCTTGTTAAATGCTTCTGGTTTCTTTTGATGCATGGGTATATTCCTCATGTAAGTGGGGAAAAAATTCATTTCAGTGATAAATTTTGTTTAAATATTATCAAGAATTGTCACTTCTTTCAAGCCAAGTGTTTTTAAATGCACACTTACCCTGCGTTGTTGCTGACTGCGGTTAGCCCTTTTACTCCAGTCTTTAGTAAAGCTCCAATAAGGTTCTCTGGAATTCCACAAAGCCCAAAACCTATAATAAGCCCGAAAGATAAACTATTTATTTTGATACAAACAAAAATGTATGTATCATTCTTTTTAATAGAAAATAAAAAATATACATATCAAGCACATTATTAGATCTATTAAGCATAACTCACAGATAATCTCAACAACCCAATAAATGGTCGTGAGCTGTATCCGAATGCCTTGCACTATTATACAGCACCATACATCACTGTCAAGTTTTTGAATCATAAGTATAAAGCCAAGTACAATCAGTTTACATGGCTACACATTACTTATCTTGCACTTAACTACATCCCTATTATTGTACCATTTTATGATTCAACCCTTATATGGTTACTTTCTCAAGCATGTGTGTTTTATATGCCCAAGTAGATTTTGCAAAATTAGACACCTGGGCCAATACTCTTCATTGCTTTGCATCTTTCTCAATTCCTCAGATAGTATGTGTTTAAAATAAACATTCAATGACATCATTTGAGTAAATGGAGAGCAGCCCTGAAAATTAGCCTCGAACCCTGTGACCAAGGCCTAGAAATTCAAAGTAGTTTATAAGAATCAGGCAGTAAATTTAATAAGTCAGTGGTTCTAAAAGATATTCCAAACAAGAAGAAGTAGTAGAACTTAGGGGGTTCACCAACAAACAGAAGCTTATGTACTCTCCGTCTCATAAAATAAGGAGTAGCTAGGGGTGGGCCAGGAGCCCTGGAGGTGCGGTGGTTAAGAGCTCCCCTGCTAACCAAAACGTTGGCAGTTTAAATCCACCAGCCACTCCTTAGAAAACCTGTAAGGCAGCTCTACTCTGTCTGGAATCGACTGGAGGGCAATGGGTTTGTTTTTTGAGTTTAGCCTGGGCCAATGTGATCAATGTAAACATTTCAAGTTAAAGAGAATTCCTAAGGATCTAGGGATTTTCTAAAGCTACTGATAAAATATTACCACAGTTTTAAAATTTTTGAAATTTCAGCTTTTCAAAACAATAGAAGAAAAAAGGAAAGAAAAAGTAAATATTAAGTGTTAAACCTTGCTAAACTTTCAGGAAGGAGACATAGGATAAAGTAACTGCCATTTTCGAACAGTTTTTCTAATCTACACAGCTTTGCCATGTGATTTCGCTGACTCCCTAAAAACATAAGAATGTTAGCACAGAAAGGACAACAATGCTGTTACTCACCACCAACTAGTATTGTCGCACCATCAGGGATGTCTTTTATAGCTTCCACCGGATCTGAATAAAATTTAGTATGATGATGAGTGCTGGTTGAAAAGTAGCAAACATATCCCTGGAACAATTCGAAAACATTGTTAAGTGAATAATCATTTGGAGATACAGCATATATAGCAATTTATTCATTATATATACATACATACATGCATGCACACACACACACATATATGTATATACTGATAACTTTATTATCCCCCTTTTAAAAGAATGGGGCTTTGAGTAGTTCATCTTTAAGAATAAGCTAGATGTACTCTATTCACAGATTATCACTGGAGGCCCGTTGTGATTAATGTCTTCCACTATGTGAAGAGAGAGCTATAACTGTGTTATCTGTGGCCACCAAAAAAAAGTTAAAGTAGATAGCCCATACACTGGGACTCAAATTCACAATAATGGCATCATCAAGCATCTATTTCCGACAGCAATCTAACCTTCCATTTAATCAATAGATATTTACTGACAACCTACTATGTGCCAAGTACTGTGCTATTTACTTCAACACACTAAGGACTAAGACATGACTGCTGCCCTCAAAAAAATTAAGTACAGCATGACCAATACTACAAATACTACACATCCTGATCTAATATTAGGGGTCAGAGAATGCCTCCTGTTACGGATTGGACTGTGTCCCCTAAAAACTTATGTTTAAGTCCTAACCCCTGTACCTGTAAATATGACCCTGTTTGGAAATAAGGGTTTTCTTTTGTTAACGAGGTCATACCAGAGTAGGGTGGGCCCTAAACCTAATCACTTCTGAATTGTATCTTGTAAAAAGAGCAGAACAGACACAGAGACACACACAGGGGAAAGACAGATGCCAAGGAACACGAAGGAACTCCTGGGGCTACCAACAAGGAAAGATTCTTCCCTACAGCCAATGCATTAATTTGCACTTCTAGTCTCCAAAACTGTGAGTCAATACATTTCTGTTCTTTAAAGCCACCCATCCCACTTGTGGTGTTTTTTATTATAGCAGCACTATGTAACTAAAATGCTTCCTAAAGGGATAAACAAAGAAAGGCACACAGAAGACTCATCCCCTCTTTGGGGCTTGAGGTTTATGGATGCTGTAAAAAAAACAGCAACTATTATCTGCAAGGGAGGCGTGTCTAATCTTACCACAGTGCACTGTTTAGTCCAAGATGGGTTATCTAGTGAGTATTCGTTAACAGTCAGTTGTAAATTGCTTCCTTCTAAAGTACATTTTTTACTTCACTCACAACATGGACAAGAAAAATCAAAAAGTGGATTCTGCTGCGATCAATCAATCACACTCAACATTACCTCTCCTTTATTCAAATTACATTCAATCTAAAAATAGAGGGAATAGAGAGAACAACATCTGAATCCTGATATGCTGCTACCTTAACAAGCCCGTAACTGTTGGAAGCTCACACCCAATGACTAATAGAGTTAATCTCGCAGAAAGACACAACCTGAGGTAAACAAGGTAATAGCAAAAATGAGTTTCTCAGAGGTGGGGCCAAAATGGTGGAGTAGTCAGACACTTCCATGGTCCCTCATAAAACAAAGACACAAAAAAACAAGTGAATCAATTATATATGACAATCTAGGAGCCCTGAACATCAAAGGCAAAGTTACGGAATAGGACTGAGTGGTAGGGGGTGGGAGAGCCGGTTCAGAAGCAGGGAGGAGTTGCCAGACCTGACCCAGCAGAGCCCTTTAGGCCTATCACCTGATGGTGCTTGGTGAGGCAAACAGCAGCACTTGGGAGGCGTTTTCCACATCAGAGAGACATCAATAACATCAAATAAGAACCCAAGACTAGAAAACAGGACAGAGCAACCAGATATCAACCCAGATAGGGAAGTTACAAAAATAAATCAAAGCTAGAACACTGAAAATAGGGGAACAAATGATAATATGTAAAAGATGACAATATTAAAACCAAAAAAGGGACTAAAAAATGTAGACATAGATTTTTCATGTGGAGAGGAAGTCAAGGAGATATAAAGAAATAAACGACTAGTATAAACTTAGAAAAACAGGGGTAAATATTAAGGTAACCACAAAGAAAACTAACAATCCTACACATCAAAATAAAAAACAAGAAAAATATAAAGACTCAGCAAAACAAAATCAACAACAATGAAAAAGATGAAAAAATACATAAAGAAAAATGACTCAGCACAGAAAATTTAGTGGAACAAAGAAACTGTCAACAATACACACAAAAAAAATATCAAAATGACAGCACTAAACTCATACCTATCAATAATTATGCTGAACGTAAATGAACTAAATGCACTAAAAAAGAGACAGAGAGTGGCAGAACGGATTAAAAAAACAGGATCCGTCTATATGCTGCCTATAAGAGACACACCTTAGACTTAAAGACAAAAACTAAAACTCAAGAGATGGAAAAAAATATATTAAGCAAACAACACTCAAAAAAGAGCAGGATTAGCAATATTAATCTCTGACAAAATAGACTTCAAAGTAAAATCCACCACAAAGGATAAGGAAGGACACTACATAATGATTAGAGGCTCAGTACACCAGAAGAACATAACTATAATATTTACGCACCCAAGGACAGGGCTCCAAAATACATAAAACAACTCTAAAAGCATTGAAGAGAGAGATAGACTGCTCCACAATAATAGTAGGAGACTTAAAAATACCACTTCCGGTGAAGGACAGAAAATCCAGAAAGAAACTCAATAAAGACATGGAAGATCTAAATGCTACAATCAATCAACTTGATCTTATGGACATATACCAAACCCTCCACCCAACAGCAGCCAAGTATGCTTTCTTCTCCAACGCACATGGAACATTTTCCAGAATAGACCACATATTAGGCCATAAAGCAAGCCTTAACAGAAGTCAAAGCATCGAAATATTACAGAGCATCTTTTCTGACCATAAAGCCATAAAAGAAGAAATCAATAACAGAAAAAGCAAGGAAAAAAAATCAAACACATGGAAACTGAACAACATCTTGCTCAAAAACTAATGGGTTATAGAAGAAATTAAGGACGGAATAAAGAAATTCATAGAATCAAACGTGAATGAAAACACATCCTACCAGAACCTTTGGGACACAGCAAAAGCAGTGCTCGGAGGTCAGTTTATAGCAATAAATGCACTCATCAAAAAGAAGAAAGAGTTAAAATCAAAACAGCAATCCTATAACTGGAACAAGTAGAAAGAGAGCAGCAAAAGAAGCCCTCAGGAGGACTTCCAGGCAACATGGCACTACAGGCAGAAGCACCACGATGTCCCTCCACAGCAAAGATCCAAAAAACTAAGCCAAACAGAGAAAATGGCTGCAAATGACAACATCAGAACAACAAAAGAGGGAATAAATGGTGTAGGTATAGAACCTTCTAATGGAGAGAAAAGCAAGGCGATAGACTGCTTCAAACTTAGAAGGATAAGGGTAAATTTCACGGTAACCACAAAGGAAGTTAACAAACCTACTCATCACAATAAAGAGGAAAAACGAAGTCTCAGTAAAAACAAAACCTACAAAAACAAAAGAAATGAAAAGAAATCCATAAACAAAAGGAATTCAGCACAGGAGAGTAAGAGGAACAAAGAAAAAAGTCACCACCACAAAAAAAAAAGCACTCACAAATCAAAAACACTGGAAATAACAAATATTGGAGAGGCTGTGGGGAGATCAGAACTCTTTACGCACTGCTGGTGGGAATGCATAATGATACAACCATTTTGGAAAATGATATGGCGCTTCCTTAGAAAGCTAGAAATGGAAATACCATAGGATCCAGCAATCCCACTCCTAAGAACATATCCTAGAGAAATAAGAGCCATCACAGAAATAGACATATGCACACCCATGTTCATGGCAGCATTGTTCACTATAGCAAAAAGATGGAAACAACCTAGATGCCCATCAACAGATGAATGGATAAACAAACTACAGTACATACACGCAATGGAGTATTATGGAACGGTAAAGAACAATGATGAATCTGTGAAGCATCTCATAACATCGATGAAACTGGAGGACATTATGCTGAGTGAAATAAGACAACCACAAAAGGACAAATATTGTATGAGACCACTATTATAAAAACTCAGGAAAAAGTTTACACACTAAAAGTAACAATCTTTGTTGGTTACGAGGAATGGGAGGGGTGGAGGGGAAACACTAAATAGACAATAGATAAGTAGTATCTTTGGTGAAGGGTGAGACAGTACACAATACTGGGGAAACCAGCACAACTTGTACGAGGAAAGGTCATGGAAGCTCCACAGACACATCCAAACTCCCTGAGGGACTGAACTGCTGGGCGGATGGCTGTGGGGACCATGGTCTCGGGGAACATCTAGCTCAATTGGCATAACACC